TTATTTGATCAACGGAAGGAAAGAAAATACTCTAAAAATCATAATGTTTTTTAATTTTATTAACATTTTCATCGGATATTCTACTTACTAATTAATTACCTATATAAATAAATCTCGACTTTCTTTAAAATTTAGATAGAAAAAAAATAATACGATAAAAAAAGTACAAAAAAATAAAAATCGCCGTCAAATTTTGAGTTAATAAAATCGTCAAGTCGTCAGTCACAGGCCATTTTTGACAGTGAAAAATCGTCAAACTGATGATAAATCGTCAAATCTGGCAACAGTAGTTGTGTGTCTGTTTTTTTGTTTGTTGTTACTGTTATTTTATGTAGGATGGAGGAGAGGGTGGGTGGTTTGGTTAGATGATGATCGAACGAGAAGAAAAAAAATAAAAAAAAATAATACCTATAGTATGCATGTATGGTGGGTGCTATATTGAAATAAGTATTTTGACAACAGGCTCACAACAGCCCCAGTGGCCTAATGGATAAGGCATCGGCCTCCTAAGCCGGGGATTGTGGGTTCGAGTCCCATCTGGGGTAAAGTGATAATTTTTTTTTTATATTATATTTTTTAAACTTGGAGACAAAATTTATTACTTTTTTACACGTTTTTTTTTAATTTTTCCATAAAAAATAGATTTTTGTTTAAAAAAAATGGACTGATGACGACTGACTCACTTTTTTAACCAAAAAACAAAGAATTTTTACATATTAAAGAAAAAATGTTCAAGACATCCCTTGCGGGGATCGAACCCGCGACCTTTGGATTAGAAGTCCAACGCGCTATCCTCTGCGCCAAAGGGACAGTTGTCGACATTTGCACAAATGCTGTTTTTGATTAGGTTAAACATTAACAGGGTAACACACTTACTATGTACTTGTGTTATTCTTTACAGAGTTGATTTTTAATAATATGTGAATAAACAAAAAACACAGAACAACACGTAGCTTGCAAAAACTAACATGTGTATGTAACAAACAAAAAAATAACTTAAAACACAAAGATGTATTTGTTTGTTTGTATAGATACATATGCAGTCAAACTCGTTTATAACGAATTCTCGGCATAACAAACAACGGCATAACTACCGACTCTAAACCAGAGATACAAGCCGATGGGAAATGATCGGCGGCGCAACCATTTTGGGTCGGCGGCGGCGGCTTATTACAGAAAATATCGTCGGCGGCTAAATTGTCGGCTCAATTTAACTTTTTCTTTAGAAATTGACCTTATAAGGTTTATTATATTGAAAAATCTTTGTATAATAGTCTGTTACATAGAAACCTGTCTCTATATAAGTTCTTTTCTGCAGAAAATGGACATTTATAGTAGTTTTCACTATTTTAATATTAGCACAATATTGTGTGGCAACTCTTTTCAATTTGCCATAAGAATTTAAAATAGTGGCAACTCCGTTCAATTTGGTGAAATTATGTTCTGAAATACATGTGTGATTCTAATCTTTATCAGCGGCTACGTTTAAGCCGGCTTAGCTTTTGAGCCGAAAGAAGTCGGCGACGGCGCGGCTTGCAAAATATTACCGGCGGCCAGCCGCCGCCGATTTGAGCCGGCTTGTATCTCTGCTCTAAACGGCTGCGATTTTTCCAATATTTTTAACCAGGTGTAACAAACTTAATTTAAAATTGTTTGGTGTAAAAATTGTTTCTTGCTCCCATTTGGTTTAGGAGTTACATATACATTTAATGATTTATAATATAATGTAGAATATCTTCCGCATTATCTTTATATCATTCGAAAAGCTTTTAAACGATGTATAACATAATAGGGTTCTATAGTTGAAACGAAAAGTCGACTTTTCGAATTTTTTCATTTAGTTAAAAGTCGACTTTTCGACTTCTCGACTTTTTGCATTTTATGAAAAGAAGATTTTTCGACTTTATTTCATTTAATTAAAAGTCGACTTTTCGACTATAAGTATTTTATAAATAGTCGACTTTTCGACTTTTTCCGACTTTTCGACTTTTTCCGACTTTTTGATTTTATCGACTTTTTGAACATTTTCGACTTCTTTCGACTTTTTTTCGACTATTTTTTGACTTTTTCGAGTTTTTCCGACTATTGTAGAGTTTTTGACTTTCTCCACTTTTTTAAGATTTTCGACTATTTTTGACTTGTTTCTACAATTTTCGAGTTTTCGACTTTTTCCGACTTTTTTCGACTTTTTGACTTTTTACGACTTTTCGACTTTTTACGACTTTTCGACTTTTATTAACAAAGTCGACTTTTCGACTTTTTTCACAGACCATAGTCGAGTATCGACTTTTTTGGAACAAAATAGTCGACTACGACTTTTTTCGGCAAAAAGTCGATTGTTCGATTATTCGAAAGTCGATTTATAGAACCCTATAACATAACCTCTACTATCATTAACCTATTGAGCGCCATCTAAAAAAATGCGATTTTTATTTAGAATTTTTATGTAGCACAGCTAGTTTTATATATACATATGTATTTGAACCTTTTATTTTTTAAAATGTGCTTTTAGGAAGTATGTAGATAAAAAATTTCAGAAATTGTGAAATTCTAAAAGTTTTTATTTAAAAATTTGGAATTAATTAGATTGTTTTAATTTAAATATATCTTCTGTCTGCTAAATTTCCACAAAATTAAAAAATTTTCTTACAAACATGAATATTTAAAGATTTTCATAATAAAATAATTAAATTTATGTAATCCCCAAACCCCGTTAAATCCAGGGAATGCAATTTTTAAAATCCTGAATATTGGGATTTGTAAAAGCCACCGTTTGGCTCCTTAATTGTAATGTAAACCCCCCTTAAGAACTTTTAAAATCTAGATAGAACAACAGACAAAGCTTGAATATTTTTTTACATAATTTATGTAGAAATGCTTTTCATACTTAAAAAGTGTTCTTCATCTCTTGCGGGGATCGAACCCGCGACCTTTGGATTAGAAGTCCAACGCGCTATCCTCTGCGCCAAAGAGACACATATTAACATTAGGGGAGTAACTTTTTAAACAATCTGCTTAATCATTATTAATGAAATACATATTTCGCATACTTTCCTTAATCCTTATACATCAATGGATCGATTTTCAATGGTTACATTCATTGTTTTTGAATATATTGTACTGAGATCAAGATTTTCAATCGCTGGTAGGGAACTGAGGCCCTTTTAAAAAATATTTTTATGTACATACATACAAAGTCCTGCACAAGGCAACAATAAGACAACAATTTGTTAAAAAAATATCGTATGCGCCATCTACGACTTTTTTTTAATTTTTGTCTTATTGTTGACTTGTGCAGGCCTTTAATACGTACATACTAACAAAAATCTAAATTACGCAAAAGTATTTTTTTCCGAAAACATTAGTTTTTACTTAGCGACACAAGGTGACATCATTAGCACAGCTGATTATGGTTTATAATTTTTTATATATAGACTTTTGTATACAGGCTTAAACCCCATGGTTGTCAATCTCCATATACAATCTTCATATTTAAAAGGTGGTTTATTTAGGTTCTTCAGTAATTTTTTAAATTATTCAAATTCTGTTGTTAATATGAAATTCTTGTTCTATTACAACTGATCAGATCTTGATTGTACTACTTACTACTAACTAATAAACAGAAAATTTGGGCGATAAGTGTTAAATTTTTGAAGAAAATAAATTACATTTTTCATCCCTTGTGGGGATCGAACCCACGACCTTTGGATTAGAAGTCCAACGCGCTATCCTCTGCGCCAAAGGGACACTAAAATTGCTTTTATTATCGAAAACTAATCGGAAATTTACGTTATCAAACGTTTAAATAAATTATTTAAAAACAAACTATTTTTATAAAAATTAATTTTACATAACAATGTAAATGTTCTTAAATGAATTAGAACGTAAATTACATAATTTTATGCAGGTTATAATAACTCCACATACATATTTGTAATCTAAGCTTAATTTATAGAATAAAATCAAAATGATCATCCGGAATTCCGAAAACTCCATCCCTTGTGGGGATCGAACCCACGACCTTTGGATTAGAAGTCCAACGCGCTATCCTCTGCGCCAAAGGGACATGTTGCGAAACGCTGGCTAAATACGTTTTATAAATTTCAAGTTTATTTTTAAATACAATAAAATCATATTTAGAACATTAAAAAATAAATAAAAATATAAAATATTTATAAAAAATTTAATTAATAAATATTAAATAATAACATGCAAAACAATTTTAAACTATTCTATTATTATTTATTCAATTGATTTTAATTATTAATTTTAATCATTGGTAAATAAATATAAGTAGATTATATATAGTAGAATTTTTAATAAACTCTGTTTTTTTTTTTAATAAAATTTATTGAAATGTTCTAAATTATAATCAATTAAACTCACTCAATTGCTTTTGTAAAGCATTGTTGAACATATTGTTATAGCCTCGGTGGCGCGGTAGGCAGCGCGTAAGTCTCATAATCTTAAGGTCGTGAGTTCGAGCCTCACCCGGGGCATTCGTTTTTTGCTAAAGAATGTTACATTACACAAACAACATAGTAGAGAGAATAAATAGTAAATTTTTTTCAGAATCTAACAATCTAAAATTTCCACAGACAGACGTACATATTTGATACAAAAGTAACAAAAGTTTTCATATTTACATACATGTATGTATTTACTTTATTTACATTGCCACCAACTATTATAGGTTTGTTTATACGACAAAACCTTTATCGATTTTGGATACGAATATTATTAGTATTGTTGGAAAATGCTGGAAATAACTAACAGTTTGATTGTTTATATTTTTGCAAATATTATTTTTATCGTACGTGTTAATCATGCAATTCTCGCAATATAAAGAATCTCATATTTGGTTTTAATACTTGAAAGGGAGCGTCTTACCTAACGTAGGTCAACTTTATACAAATTAGAAGATTACTTTTCTCAAATTGGCCATCCTATTATATTGGTCTACTTTTAAATGTAACAAACTTTAAATAAATTGTTTCACATTTTATTGTTACAGTGGAGCAGGCAAGATCTATATATTTCTGTTTATTTTATAATGATTATATTAAACATGTAATGAAGCAATATGATGAGTATTATTTGCCCATTCTTTGTATAGACCATTCTTGTTGGCACAGGGGACAACGATTATTTTGTTTTACCCAGAGCGACATGCAGCAATGATGGAACGAGTGATTGCATTCACCCCATACCACAACGCAATCCTGGCGGCCTAAAACATCACGTTTGTTTTCCGCCTGACAACGAAGGCAAGCATCTAGAATTATAAAAAAATTAAACATCAATATCAAGGAAATTATTATATATTTTTTAGAAATATCGCATTTATATGAAAACAAATTTAATTATTATCAATTACTATAAGAAATCTAAAATTATTTGGGGAAAACAAGTTGAGGGAAATACAATATAAAATACTCTACCGTTTAACGCCGTGTACTTTGTAGGAGAATGCAACATTGAACTTTAATTAACAATTACATACTTTCGAAAAGATTTTGTTTGTTTCTGCTGTAAAAAACAACAAATATACACATAGATAGAAAATTTTCAAGATAAAAATACATGTACATTGTGCACAAAATGATTGTCAAGTGCCAAATATTGTCAAAGCGTTTATTTGTAAAAGAAATGACGCAAATACCTCGTAAACTTTTGTAGATGCAAATACGAATGCATGTATGTATGTATTTGTAGCGCATCTCATCACATGATGACGATGATACATATTGTATTTATACATACTTTTTATTATATTTAGTATATAATCATGCCCCCCAATGATCACTCACAATTTAAAAATGTATCTTTCCGTCCAAGAACACACCTCCCATTGCAACAATTATTATTTTGTAAGGAAGACGTGTGTGTCAATTTAACAAATTTGAAAAACAACTAAATTGATTGAATATTATATATATATATATATATATATATATATATATATATATATATATATATATATATATATATATATATATATATATATATATATATATATATATATATATATATATGTATATATATATATATATATATATATATATGTATATGTGTGTATATGATCGTACGATTGTATATACCTACATACATGTGTGTTTATTTGTTTGTAAATAAATAATTCTTTTAAATTGAGAGTCACCGAAAACGTGCATACTTACACGTCTGTAAAATATTCACAAGAAGGAGGTGACTTTGAAATGTATTAAAAAGTATTTTGAATATTTTTTTTGTCGTTTTCAACTTTATTTTTTTATATTTTATTTCAATTAAAAAAGCCAACGTTTACAAAAACGTTTTCTTCATTCATTCATATGAATATAATAGTATGCAAGTGATTTATTAGTTTATGCGGACTTTTTGATACACTTCCTCTGAGCCTTACTAAAAATTTTAAAATTTTTGGTGAGTTTTTAAATTTTTTATTTAGAACAATATTTTTCAATGAAAATATTTAAATTTTTTTCTTTTCCCGTACTTTCTCGGAAAACCAGAAACAGTTTTCATATTTTCAGTTTTTAAGAAATTTTTTTCAAATATGAGGATTTATGTCTTCTTTACTAACTTCCCAGCAAAAAATCTGAAATTTTTGGTAATAGCCAGTAGTTATTTCATACATTACTTGGTAATGAGTGTTCATTATCATCCACATTATTTCATTTAGCTGAATAGGTTATTACTGGTAAAGAACAAAACAATTTGGATTTGTTATGGCTCAATTGTCTAGGTCGTTCATTTAATAAACAGGGGGTTCGTGGTTCGAGCCCTGCTGGATACTGTTTATTTTTTTCAAAATGACATTAATTTATATATTTTTGTAAAAAGCTGTTCTCAAAATTATAAAAAGCAACATGTTAATGGAGCATCGAGTAAGCGGCTGGAGTGAGAAACATAGAAAACAACTGAATGCCTGGGTTCAAATCCCGGCCGAGGAATTTTTTTATTTTTTGTTTTCTACATACAAAGTCGGCCAAAAATAACTAGCTATCGTATAACATATTTGTAGGTTTATTTGTAACTAGTTATTTCGCAAAGTTTTTGTAATCAAATTAGTAACCATTTATTAATTTGTTTAAGGTAGGTACATATTATTTGAACCTCGTCGAACAAAAATAATTAGTTATTCACCCCAAAAGTAATTAGTTTCCACGTGATTCCAATATTACTTTCTAGATTACTAGGTAATGAAAATTTTTGCTGGGTTTATTTCTAGTTTTATGTGTTAACAATATTAAAAATCCTACTATTTGCTTTTAGATCTTATTATTATACATATATTTTTAATATCTTTCTTTGTAAACAGAAGACAATTCGTCCATAAGTAGGGAAATATTATCAAGTTTATATTTATTTAATTTATTAAAGGCCTTTGCTTCCTGCACAGGAATCTTCTTTGAAATTCTCATTTACAAATCTGTCTATACATCCCAAACAATGTTTCCCTTCCTAAATCTTTACATAAACAGCCACTTCAGTTGTGTTGCCAGTTGCCAAAATGATGTGGATACTGGACTTTTTTAAGCAATAGCTTGGAAACTTTATAGTGTAAAAAGTTTTTACATAATGAATGTTTTATTCATTAATAATGATTGAACAGAATTGAATCATATATGGTCAATTCAATTCTGTTCAATCATGATTTAGTTTTAATTTAATGCAAATAGCAACTGTGTTTATTTATAATATAGTATATCTTTTTTTGTTTGTATAATTTTGTGTTCGACTGTATATAAAAAACTAGTGTCTGACATAAGAACAAACAAAACTCCTTCATTACTTTCGGTCAGTGACTCATTAAAGAATCATTTTAACTTTCGTCAAATTTCATGCAAAACATTTCTTAGAAATTTACCCTAAAAAATGTTTACGTTTTTAATTCCCAAAAAATAAACAAGTGCAATTTTTAAGTGGTGCAGGTGGTAGTGAAAGAAAAAATATTTTATTAATTCGTTGCGTTTGCATCGGCATGTCCGTTTTAAAGTAATAAAACGAAATAAATTGCACTTTAAGCTAAAAATATTAAATGAAATCTTAAACTATGAAATTTTGATCAAAACAATAAAGTCATGGAGTGATTCAATTTATTGATTAAAAATGCACTGCTAAGAAAAACTTAAATAATAAAGACGTTATTTTTTTATTTCTTAATAAATTTGTATATTAAAAATTATTAATTTAAAAAATTCGTTTGAAATTTAGTGTAAAATATACGTAAATGAGTAGTTTTTGCTTAAAATTCATATGAAGAGTAAAATATATTTTCTTGGACAATTGGTTTTAATTGAAGCTCAATCAGGATTGAATTGAAAAGTTGCGTCATTTGTAAGTATATGACGCTTTTACATTGAAAATTATAAACACACAATGTGTACGAATACATACATACTATACATAGGTATTATGTATGTAAATATTTTTTTATTCAATTCATTTAAGTCATATTTTTAATATGTATGCATGTTTTTACTGATTTTATCAGATTATTGTTGTCATTCTTTGTAAATTGAATGTTTTTAGTATTTTCTAGAACTAACCAAAAAACATAAATTTAAAAAGTTTGTGTGGAAATGGGACACCGAATCGCAATTCTAATGGAAAGGGTCAATAATGCAGACAAATAACTGAATTATTAAATTATGCTTCTAGTACTGTTCAAAATTTTGCTTAAGGGTGAAATTTTTCATCCAAATGTAAGACAACTGATCATCTAAGGTCGTAAACATGCGCAGAAGCGCTACAAATTTAAGGGTTAATGAGAAATAGAGATACTATAAAACTCCAAAAATATATAGTAGGACAATAAATGTTTGTTGATCATTATGTAGAATTGATCTAGCTAAAGCAATCAAGCAAAATAAACCTTTGCTGTCAAACTAAAGATTTAAGACGTGTCTGCATTATTGTATAAAATACAGAAATAAGGCAGCGGAAGAATGAAACTGGTTAATTTTCGTTTAATCGGACCAAATTACATGTTTTTAATCTGCTGCTACCGGTTTTCAATCTGTTGCTACCTTATATCCGAGGAAGCGCATTCGCATCCTCGGTCTTTGACATGGGAATCAAACCAGAGAACCACATAATCTGGTACCAAGGGAACCGGTAGCCCACAGCGCAGAGTTTCGAACTTTGTCTTGTCCCGATTATTGGAGAGATCCCTTCGGGGTGCACGTAGTGTATGTGGTTTGAACCCAAATTCAGACGAGAATTTAAAAAAAAACTGATGCACGGTAAAGTCTATAAACCTAGATAAGTACGGATCTGATGCCGAGACAACAGATACTTAATAGAGGAGTGACTGTGGGACTAAGCGTTTTAAATAAGCTCGTGTCCACTGTATGTTATACAGGATGGATATAGGGGTATTCGGGTCATACCCCAGAGTGAGTGTGTCGGATGAATGAGCAGAGTGCTGGGTCATGCCATTGAATTTTCCTTTTTTGTCCGATAATGTTCAGGGTTTACTATATTCTTACCAGATTTACCACAGTGTGTTCTTTGTGAATAAGTTCTCGGCTTATTTGACGGATTCGTGTTTCGGTGTACCGATTATGGTACACCGATACACAAAAATGACCACCGGCGAAAAGCGTAAAAAAAGCTTACCCTATGGATGAAAAATACCATTGTGAAATTAGGCTTTTAAGACAGGTGTTTACGTAAAGCACTTCGACATTTTGTACCAGGTGTTATAAAACACAATTATTATTCTTATAATAGAATCAATTATAAATTCGTAATTATAATTGCATAAAAATTGTATATAAATTTTAAAAAACGACTGAAGTAAATAAAAAAACTTCCCATACCGGGAATCGAACCCGGGCCTTCTGGGTGAAAGCCAGATATCCTAGCCACTAGACCATATGGGATACATAAATATCAATAAACAAATTTGGTATTTGTTGGGAATTACAGAAAGTGGTTTCAGTTTCCATCAAATGTGGAATGTATTTGATATAAAGATATTGAAAATGCAACTGAACAGATTGGTTGTAATTAATACAATTTTACGATGTACATACATACATTTCTTACTCACATTTTATATTTATTAATCGGTTTATAAATGTATACATTTGTATGTATATATTTTAGATAAAAAAATAATAACCAGTACATATAGGCACTATGTATGTATAGTATGTGTATAAAATTGAGGTTGATTTAAAGTCACACAAAAATGTTGCTCATGAAGCAAGCACACACAAATGCTGATGCAAGTATATCCAAGCAATAGTGAAATATTTTTAACAG